TGAAGCAATTTAAAACTCATTAGAAATAATAGGCCTGGGCTAGTAGAAAATGTGGTAAAATTTAATCCTCATCCAAATGTTACCTGGGCTGTACAAACAGGAAATTGTTCTGTGCTACTGTGGCTGACCTCATTGCTGACCCTGAGCTGTAACGGCAAGAGCAGCTGAGAGCGGAGGCAAAATTAAAAACTTACATCAAAGTATATCATGACAGAATGCAGATAAATAAAACAGCATATCAGAAGTATTATTTTTCTGCCAGTCTCATGGAGCAGTAAGGTGGAGGTATTCCATAAATACAGAACACATCAGGGGCACAGGCAAGGAGTCCTCCCTCTGTACCTTCTGGGGCACTGACCACCAGACAGTGCCAGGAGCGGTGAGCACAGGAAAAACCCTCGGCTTACCAAAGGAATAAATAACCTCCCAGTCACGCTCTCCCTCATCTTCTAGACCCCTGAGGGTCTCCCTCCAGTGAGCACTGAGACGTTTCAGAGGTAAAAGTACAGGTAACAAAACATCACAGGGGGCAAGAGGCCCCTCAGCCTGGCTACCAGAGCCAGCCCGGGAGGGTGGGTGCGTAGATGGAAGTCCAGTGCCAGTATCTGTCACTGTGGCACAGCTGAAGACATTTTCCATGGAACCTTTGATTTCCCTTAAGTTTGGGGATCAGAATAGTGCTTCACCATAAACATCCAAGGCACATCTTCCTGTGGAACTCTCAGAAGGCAGGAAGGAGAGCAGAAAGACGCATTCATCGTCTAAAGTCATAGGGACTTTGAATGGAATTCCAATTCAGCTCCCTGCCTCCCTGCTAGCTAGTCCTATCTGGCTACGTTGCTCATCTCCATGAGCTTACAGTAAGCAGGGCAGGTAACTGACTGGCCAAGGCAGTCTACACCTTATCTAATTGAGCCCTCCCACTGTCCTGTGAGGTATGTATATTTTCCCTATTTAAGCAAGGGAAGTAAACAACTCAGCCAAGGTCACGTAAGTAGTGAGCTGCAGATGATGCCACCTACCTTGAGGATTCAACCGGGAAATGTATGAAAAATGACCTAATATAGGAAGGAGCAGGCATACGGCAGATGATAAAAACTGGAAGTCACTAACACCAGTAATCAAACTTAGAAGCAGAGCCTTGCTTGTCTTCTAGTCTTTCTTCAGGTAAAAGAACATCTTAATGGCTTCCCAAGGACGCTCGGAGGGTTTCTCTCTCCTTGTCCCCTTGCTCCCCTCCCCTCCTTCAGTCTCCCTCCTCCTCCCCTCCACACCACCCTCGAACCTCTCAACCTCTGCGGCAGCACCTGGTCTCTGAAAGACAACTCAGTGGGGAGAGGAAGCTTCTGAAGCCCACGGAGCTTCCTTGTGCCTGTTACTGGACATATGTGCTGTTCAAGAGAGCCAGCGGTACTGGGAGAGGACGAGTCACTTTCTCAATATCCCCACTGCAAGAGCGAACAAGCCCCAAAGGAAACAGTACATTCATGAAAGAAATGATGCAGGAAAGATAGCACCGTGATGATAAGAGGAACCTAACACTGGTGTAGTTCAAGCTCTTCTGATGTCTGATCCTTGTGTATGCTGCCCTGTTTCATAATGGGGATTATTATTTCCTTTAATGAAATAAGGAAACTGAGTTAACAAAGTACTGCAATCATTACAGGCAGGGTGGTCTAGGCAGGAGGTGCCCTGGATGATGAAGACTCTCAGGCCACGAGGCCCTGTCCAAAGAAGATGCCCGCAAGAGAATGGCTGCGGATGAAGGGGCACCATCATGAGTGCCCGCTCCACGCTCTCCTGGGCAGGGCCTCCACCCAGAGCAGCTCAGTAGACCCCCTAACCCTGCACAGGCACCCAGGTCAGTATGTCTTTATTATTCCTAATTTTAGATATGAGAAAATTAGGCAAAGAGGTTTAGTGTCTTCACTGAAAGTCATGGAGTTGATAAGCACCACGATTGGAACTCAGACCTTCTAATCTCCAAAAACTGTGCTTTTAAGCATATGCCACGCTGTTTTTGGAACCATACATCTTAGTATGAAAAGACATGGACAGGACACAAAACTAAAAGTGGAACAAAGACCTAGGCATTAGACCAGAGACCCTGCGCCTACTAGAAGAAAATGTAGACCAACTCTTCATCATGTCAGCTTAAAAATCAAATTCCTCTATTAAGATTCCTAAAATGCAAGAAGTAAAACCAAGAATCAATAAATGGTATCAAACTAAAAAGCTTCTTCAAAGCAAAAGAAACAACCAGGAATGCTGTGCCTACAGAATGGGAAAAAGTCTTTTACCACCTACCTGCACCTCAGATAGAGCATGAATCTCTAGGATATATAAATAATTAAAAAAATTTAACACCAAAAAAATAAATAACCAAGAAATGGACAAAGGAACTGAAAGGTACTTCACAGAAGAAAAAATACGAATGGTCAACAAATATATGAAAAAATGCTCAACATCTCTAGCAATTGGAGAAATGCAAATTAAAACTACACTGAGATTCCATCTCACTCCAGTCAGAATAGCAAATATCAAGAATACAAGTAACAATAAATGTTGGCGAGCATGGGGGGAAAAGACACACTTACACATTCCTGGTGGGACTGTAAACTGGTGCAACCAACTCTGGAAAGCTCTATGAAGATTTCTCAGGAAACTTGGAATGAAATCACCATTTGATTCAGTTATCCCACTCCTTAGTCTATACCCAAAGGACTTAATATCTGCATACTACAGTGACAATACCCACATCGATGTTTATAGCAGCTCAATTCACAATAGCTAAGCTAAGGAACCAACTAGGTGCCCTTAAACAGATGAATGGATAAAGAGAATGTGGTATATATAAACAATGGAATATTACTCAGCCATACAGAAGAATAAAATTATGGCATTTGCTGGTAAATGGATGAAACTGGAGACTACCATGCTAAATGAAATAAGACAAAAAACCAAAGGCTGAATGTTCTTTCTGATAGATGGATGCTAATACACAAATAGGGAGGGGGATATACATTCATTGGATTAGAGAAAGGGGAATGAAGGAAAGGGAAGGGAAGGGGGATGGGAATAGGAAAGACAGTAAAATGAATCAGACAGAACTTTCCTATGTTCATATATGAATACACCAACGGTGAAACTCCAAATCAGGTACAAACACAAGAATGGGAAGTTATACTCCACGAATGTATAACATGTTATAATACACTGTACTGTCACGTGTAGCTTAAAGAATAATTAGAAAAAGATTGAACAGGCTGGGCGCAGTGCACGTGCCTGTAATCCCAGTGGCTCGGGAGGCTGAGACGTGAGGATTGTAAATTCAAAGCCAGCCTCAGTAATGGCAAGGTGCTAAGCAACTCAGTGAGACCCTGTCTCTAAATAAGATACAAAATAAGGCTGGGGGTGTGGCTCAGACATGGACAGGAATTAGATATACCCTGAAAGTTAAGTAAGGCAAAACTGTATTTAGAAAACATAAAAGGGGGTCTGTTTGCTTCTAGAAGGCAAAATTTCTGTATGATTTTAATTTGTCTATCTTCAAATAGACATAAAAGTTGTGGCAATGTTGTTGCTGATTACAATGAAAATAAGAGTGAATTTACTGACTTAAATAGGTGGGGGCTGGGGATGTGGCTCAAGCCACATGCTCGCCTGGCATGCGTGGGGTGCTAGGTTTGATTCTCAGCACCACATAAAATAAAAAATAAAGATGTTGTGTCCCCCGAAAACTGAAAAATAAATATTAAAAAATTCTCTCTCTTTCCTCTCTAAAAAAAAAATAGGTGGTTTCTAGTTTGCATGTTTGATTTGTAGAACTTTTAACCTCAAGTTCTACAAATCAAACATGCAATTAAAACAGCATGTGTTAGAAGAGGCCTACAATGTATATAGACAGGAGCTGCAGAATGGGTTTCTAACTTAAATAAAAATTCTGCGTTTTGAATTTTGTTCCTAAACACATGCATGTACATCAAAAAAAATTGGGGGTGCTGCGGATGTGGCTCAAGTGGTAGCGTGCTCGCCTGGCATGCGTGTGGCCTGGGTTTGATCCTCAGCACCACATACAAATAAAGATGTTGTGTCCATCCAGAATGAAAAAAAAAAAAAATTCTCTCTCTCTCTCTTTAAAAAAAAAATTGGGCTTCAAAAATTTCTGTGAGATCTGTTTTTAGGTACTCAAAAAGAAATACAGGAATCACAGGCTATTTTTTTTCTTTCTTTTTTGGTGTCACTAGGAATGGAATCCAGGGGCACTATACCATTGAGCTGCCTGAGATCAGGCAGGCAAAGAGGAAGAAAAAGAGGACACAAAGAAACACCTCTTGGGTAGAAGTACACTGCAGAGCTGCCCAGAGAGCTAGCACCAGCCAGCATGTGCCAGACTACAGAGAACCCTCGTCCACCCTGTCCCCATGCCCTGAACATAAATCCTAGAGGGCAGAGAATTCCACAGACAACGCTGTCAGAATTGGCAAGTATTAGGATGTATGGCAGTTCTTAGGCCCCAACAATAACCAAATTCCAAGATTTTGATCTAACAGGCAACATTCCTTAGAGAACTCTGCTCCTAGTAGGGCAGTGCCCCAAGGTTCCCTGTCATGAAACATTTACTGCTCCTTACAAGGACATTTCCCCCAAATTTAGGGACATACTGGTCTACTCATTCCTTGATCCAAGAAAGCAAACTCTCTGATGCAAGTTTGAGCAATTTCGAAAATGCTACAACTTTTTAATATTCTATCTAGCGTATTCCCTTTGCCTACTGACCCTGCAAGTTCATCCAAACGAGAGTCATCAAGCTGGCCAGGCAAGGCCGACCTCCTCCATGCCAGCCAGCATGATGGCTCCATGACTCCCTGCACTCCCTTTAGCCACTGCACAAATTCATACAGATATGAGGGTTTGAGAGAACAAAATAACTAACATCTTTCTTTTCTCCAAAGAGATAAAGTTATATTGCAGAGACAAATATGGAAAAGGACACTCACCATAAGTGCAAATCATTTTACTAGCTTCTCTGAAGAGAAGAATTCCATTAGGAGATGATACATCAAAATTCAAACGCTGGGACCTAGAAAATAGAGCAAGAAATTAAACTATATGTGCAGATAAAGAAACCAAATATAGGTTGAAAATGTCCAGCATTTTCATTTATTGGAAGCAGCAGCAATACAATTATTTCTTACACTACCATTCCAATCAACAACTGTTGATAAAATATGTATGCTAATTTCCTCACGACAAAGATACTAGACAATTAAGAAGGGTTTTCTTTTATTTGTTGATTTAAAGAGTTTATAAAGATAGTATCTGACACCCTATATCACAGATTTCTCACCCCTCTTCTTTTTATGCAAAGTGGTTGGTGGATAGTAAGTAAAAAACCTTACATGTACATGTATAAGTTTATACAGAAACGTGGACAGAGTTGTATTTATAATCTGACATCTTCTATAGTATCTGGTACCTATTTTTAAAGCAAGTTCTAAAGTGACATAAAGGAGATGCAGGTACTTTTAATACTGCACAAATTTATAATGAATCATGTGGCCCTTCAAGCAAATTTCAAACACATTAAATTACACTACAGATTATGGTGTCCAGTGCCCCTGGATTAAGTGTAGAGAAACAAATGCAAAAGTTCTCTGAGAATATTCCACTTCCCTGGTTCCTGATAGGTGTGGAACAGGGTCCAGAACTGACAAGCCACCCTGACACAGTTCTACTTTTAGAACATTTCTTTGTCTTTAGTTGGCTCTGACATGCTCTGTTGATGTGCTTTCAAGATATGATTTTTTTTTTTTAAAAATCAGCAACAAACCAAAAACCCAAAAGCAAACACATGGTTGAAGTCCTGTTTGCCACAAATAGAACTGTTGTTTCCCTATGTGTTTTCAAAATAGCATCCCCTGCAATAACGTCTGAAAAATATTATTATAAACATGTGATAATTGTATGCAAACACATACAATTCCTGATTAGAGAAAAGAAATGGAATATATACATTTGCATTACATTCTAGAGAAATACAGATAACATTTTCACTAGGTAATTCTTAGAATATTTGTGCTAGATATCAATTATATGCCTGTGGCAGACATAAAATGCTTTACAATATATAATGCAATGATTTTTTCCTTTACTAGTAAATGCTGTATCAGTAACATATAGTATCAACAATCTGGTTTAAAAAATGACATTTGATGGACAAAAATTTCTAATATAAAATACAAAGCCAATCTTCTTTTAGTATTTAAAGCACTCCACAAGAATGGTTTAAAAAAAAATTAATGTTTTCAAAAGAAAAATACATTTCTTTGCCAGGTCTTTTCCACCTCATTTTAGAGTAAAGATTTTAAATTGCAGTGGTAAACACTTGGCAAGAGAGAGACAATCAGAGTTGCACCCCCCTCCCCTGCTGGCATCTCCCTTCATGGCGCTGTTTACAAGGAGGCACTGATGGAGCAGGACGGCTAAGTGACAGGTAATTTGGTGCTGAGCAATATTCACAATGACATATTTTAAAGAGGTAAACACAATTAGCTTGTTCAGTTGCTCTCTTTTAGCTACATTTTGTTAATATTTCTATGCAGGGTTTGTGAATCTCTGCTGGTCTATGCAAATTTTAAGGGCCATCCAGGCAATTTCCAAGAAGTGTCACAGTTGCTATTTCAGTGAAAACTGTGAGTGCATGAATCATCCAAACACATCCTGGCATCAAGGAGGAGGCACAGCGTCCAAGTGGAAGCGGGGACAATCCCTAGTGCTACCAAGGCAACAGCCACGTGCCCATGAGCTGCTCTGGGACGCAGGTTCTCACACACAAAGTGGAGATCCCCTAAACTTCTTTCCTGCTCTAAATTCTATAGGATTACAGTTAAGCAGGGAAACAGTTGAAAGAGCTCTCCTTCCCTCCACTTTGTGACTAAATAATGGAGCTGTAGTCTTCTAATGTTTCCATTTCCCTAATCTCCACATGACCCAAGGTCACTGTGTCTCTTTCCCAGTTGTATTTCTCCTCCATTTGTCCCTTCCTCATCTCCCTCCTCCGCTCTTCGGCCCTCTCTATTTGCATTGCTGTCCCCATCAGCTTCATCTCCGCCCCTGGGTATGACGTGGGGACATTCTCCCACTTCCAGTTATGTTGCCCACCTGTTCTGCATCAGTTCTGCGATAAGCTTCAAGATGGGAGTTGTGCACGCTGGCTCCGAGTACCACTGCTCAACAGCCCTCTGCAGAACTGGGAGATACGTTGGGTACCTTCCGTAAAAGTCTGTTAAGGAATTTAAGGGTCTAAAAACAAACAACAACACAAAACTAAACTGTTTCTGAAAATTGATGCCACCTGTTCCATGTTTAGTATACAATGGCAGTAATTTTACGAATGACAAAGTCTTTCCAACCTGTATGCCTATACTTTTGGTGGCTGCATATGATCTGCATTTATTTGTAATACATCCCATTGATTACACTGTTTTTAGTATTATTTATAAATGGAAGCTATACTTTTAAAATATCATGCAAGTTACATTTTTAAAAAGTTTTTTATAGTTATAGATGGACGGCATGCCTTTATTTATTTTTTATGTGGTGCTGAGGATCAAACCCAGTGCCTCACACATGCTAGGCAAGTGCTCTGCCACTGAGCTACAGTCCCAGCTCATAAGTAACATATTTAAAAAATTATATTTGTGTTGTAGGAAAGGAAAATAAATTGAGTAAAAGAGGAATAAAGACATACTTGAGTCACTGTTATCAGGGTTTCTTGGGAACTATATAAAGAAAAATATTATGAAATTTTAAAAACACATAGAAATAGTAACACTAAATCTCATGTATCTATGTCCCAGCTTCAGGATTACCTACATTGCTTTTTTAAAGTTGTTAACTTGCTTTGCTTGGTCCCACTTATAGCTACAAGAAACATCTGGGATGCCAGCTTGAAGAAAAGCTGAGCAACTATTAACACACTCAGGGTCAGCAGTGCTAAAAGGCAGTCTCATGTGCACACAAGAAGAAACTCTCCAACATCCGCATGAGCACCAAGGAGTGTATGCCCTCCAAAAAGCCCCAGACGGGGATGTGAGAACCTGGTACACTCCTGAGCCAGCGTCACCAGCCTTTGGAATTACCTCCTCTCCTTGCCAAACAGACACATAAACACAGGACCAAGGCCTAAAGCTACTGCAGAAAAACTTCAACAATGCCACTGCTTTCATTTCTTTTTTCTTTCCCCATCTTTTTCTGATGTTTTCTACTCTTCTTGTCCATTTCAGGTGAAAGTGCTGAAAAGAACCACTGAATAGTGTTCTTTATTCTGTGTGGTGTGGGTAGGGGTCTCCAGGGTGAGAAACTTCTCCATGACCTGATGTCTTGCTCTTGGGACATATCTCTAGCTCTTCAGCATGGCACACCAGGCCCTTTAAGATCTGGCTCCGCTCCTGCAGCCTCACCGCCTGGCACTTCTACTCTCCCTACAGCCATGCACCGCTCCCTGCAAATCTGTGATGCTAAGGTGTCTCCTCTCCTCCTGACACTGCTTCCTTCTGCCCCAGTCCTGTCCTTCAATACCTAGCTCAAGTTTTACCTCCTCTGGGGTGTTTTACCCATTCTGTCAAATGGCAGGAATCTTCCCCATCTCTGTTCAGGGAGCACTTCTGACCACGTTATATAACATAGTGACTCAAGGTTGGCTGGCTGCTCATACATCTATCCCACTAGACAGTGAGTTTCTAAAGGGAAGAAACCTGTGCCTCCCTCCTAGCTCCCTGCTAATTCCTATTTGCCCTCCAGAGTTCAATGCATATCAGTTATTCCAGGAAGCCATTTCTGACACGCTGCAGGCCCCCACCCCAGCCTGAGTTGGGAGTGATTCCTAGGTGCGACTGTAGGATTCTGGGCTAGCGTCACATGACACTTCAGCATCAGCTTTCTGAGGGCAGGGACTAGGTACTTGGTATGCACAGCCTGGCACAAATGTAGGTTTCAAAAAATATCAGTCCCACAAACCTGCCAATCTATAAATGAGGTCCAGTGTGCTTAATCAGAACTGTTTAACTGTACATTTCACTTTGAAGCTTTAGAAAATAATTTACATAAAGAAAATAAGTCCTCTAAAGCCTTAAGAGTGCTTTCCCCACTAGAGTTGCCATGTGAAAGCTGTGTTTATAATGAAACAAGTATTTAGTGAAGTCCTACTCTGCAACAAGCACTATTGTGAGAGTCTCCAGAGACACCAATGAACAAAACATTAGAGAAACCCTTGCCCTCATGGAATTGATATTCTGATAGTATAGAGAACAAAATAAGTATTCAATGTAAAGGAAAATAAAGCAGGGAATGGAGAAGTAGTGAGTGTATGTGCACGGGTGAGATTTCAGTTGAATGAGGATGATACAAATATACTGAATGAGTTTGATCATGAACTTTACTTTGGCTCTTGTCAGATAACTTACTTTTCTATGTCCTGAAAGCTGTTATTTTTGAAAGATGGTGCTCTATACTGTTCTTGGGGCCAGGGACCCAGAGTTAAGGAAGACGCAGTGTTTGCTCACTGGGAATTCATGCTGGGAATTCCAGGGTGGCACGGGGATAAGGAATGTGAAGAATACTAGAATTCTGAGGCAGAGCCAGAGGAGCACAGGTAAGAAAATGTTCCATCAAGAGCTCACCTGAGGGAGCATTAGTGAGAGAACATCTGAAGGCCCACCAGGAAACTGCAGAGATCCAAATATCAGAACTAAGCCCAGAGAGGCCCACAGGTCCCTGTGCCAAGCACTCTAACGGCATTAGGACCGTGGTATTTTTCAAAGCACACGGCATTCACTATGGACAAAACCAGGGGACGTGAGGGGATGTGCTTTTTTCTGTGTGGAATGAGAGTGGTGACAATTCTAATATGCTTCTGACAGAGGTGACTGCCACAGAGAAGATGAGTGATTACTGGAAAGCAGAGCAGAGGTCCACCAAGCCGAGAGGTTGAAAGGGCTTCACAGTGAGAGCAGCAGGCTCAGACTACAGGTGAGATGGAAACCCACTCTAGGAGCTTAATTTTCCAGTGGCCTTATGAGAGCTCCACATATAAGATAGGATGAAGAGGGCGGGAGCCCTCAGGTAGAAGAGGCACAGACCTAATTTCACCTAGATTTTCTCAATGAATTCTGAAGGTCCACATCAAATAAGTGAAAAACAATGGCATACAGCAACATCTTACTGGACGCTAAGTATAAAAATGTGAAAAGTATCAGATTTTTGTCTACGTAACCATCCATCCATGTACGCTGTGGTTTATAGTTACCATGCGCTGAACCCCAAGAAAGCAGTAATGAGTAGACTTGATTCTTTTCCTCTGGGATTTCACAGCAGAGAAAGCATCAGAATACACCAGAAGGCCAACGCCAGAGTTCTTACTAAAACCTCCAAGAGATAAGGGTCTGAGGATGGGATTCCTAAACAGAAACAGCCGGCCACTTAGTTCATTTAAAGGTTCTCCAGGAAGATGCTAACACCTGGACCTTTGTTTATGAAGGCAACTGTGCTGCTGGGAGCCCCTCCTCTCGGTCCAGCAAATGCCTGTCCATTCTCTGAAGCTACCTGAATTCTCCCAGGAAGCCTCCCTATTTGGGAGCCTCCAAACCAATAATCTCTTCCTTGCCTGTGTTTACCTGGCCTGTTGCAGGTTTTCTGTTTTAGGGAGGGTGGTGGTATTGGGGATTGAACCCAGAGGTCCTTCACCATGGGACAACATCCCCGCTCTTCTTATTTTTTTAAGACAGGGTTTAACTAAGTTGCTTAGGAACTTGCTGAGGCTGACCTCAAATTTACAATCCTCCTGCCTTAACCTCTAGAGCTGCTAGGATTACAGGTGAGCACCACTGCGTCTGGCTTGTGGCATGCATCTTTATCTTAACACACGGATGAATAACTGTTCATTCCTTTTTATGTCTACTAGACTGTGAGCTTCTGAAGAGCATCATTCTCCCTTATGCCTGGCACAAAACACAGTCAAAACATGCCTGCTCTGTGAATTTTCAGGCTTACTTTCTTGCCAGTTTCTATCTGTCCAACATCATATCGCCAACTGCTTTCTTCATGACTTATTCTTCTGCTCGGCATAGTCCTAGCTTCTCTGGGAGGTTGAGGCCAGAGGACTGCTTGAAACCAGGAGTTCAAGAACCAGCCTGGGCAATAATATAAAACAGAAAAAGAAATATAGTTCTAATTTTTATTTTTTTGGTACGAGGATTGAACCCAGGGACACTTAACTACTGAGCCACATTGTTTTGTTTTGAGACAGGGTATTGCTAAGTTGCTTAGACTTTCACTAAGTTGCTGAGGCTGGTTTTGAACTTGCACTCCTCCTGACTCAGCGTCCTAAGCTGCTTCGGTTATAGGTGCACACCACCACACCTGGCTATAGTTCTGATTTTGTTGGTCAATCAAAACCTATTCCTATGGAATAAGGATCTACATTCTATAGCTTGGTATTCAAGGGACCCAGACAATCTGTTTTCAAGCATGAAGTAAGTGTTATGTACAATAAAACATCTTCTTTGTTGCTTCCTTTCTAGTCCTGGGATGAGGCTAACTGAAAATCGGTCTCTTCCCATTTCCCTATAGACCAGTCCTATGTATTTGGTACGATTCAGGGCCAAGTCTTCAGGTTTACAAAGGCATTCCTGACCCCCAGCTAAACGCCATCAATTTCCTATTAGTATTTTGTTATGTCACTGACCACTTTCTACGTGTTAGTACAAGTCATTTATGTAGATAGTGGAGTCTGCTGAGCTAAAGCTCATTTGGGGGTAGGATTTGGGTCTAAGTAATCTCTACCCCTCATGAGGCCTAGTGCACTGGACCAAGAAAGCCCAATGTGTTAACTATTTAAGTGAACCAGGGGGATTTTCTCATCTCATTCTGTTATTAGGAAAGGAAATAGATAGTGGTGGACAGTGTGTCTTTTGTGACAGAAACTGTACCAGAACTTTTACATAATCACAGAATCACAACACTTTTCATAACAGAACTGCAAGATGGCTATTAACAGTCCTGTTCTATGGAGATGAAAACTATGATATGGGGACACCAGGTAATTCACTCACGACCCACAGGCTTCCAAGAGGTGAAACCAGGACTGGGATCTAATACTGTCTTATTGTGAGGTCTATGCTCTTCTGCATTTCGCCTTGTTTTGTCTGTCTTTGCATGATATGCTTATGCACATTAATAAACAGCACTGAAGGCCTGACTGGATATCAGTGAGTTCAAAGAGCACGACAATTAAGACTGAGTGTGAGGAAACAGCATCATACAAATTCCTTCCCCTGCCCCCCACAATTCCTCTGGATTTTTGATGCTTCAGTCTAAGGACAGCCTGGGACAAGTTTAAACACAGTTATTAAATGCACTACAAGGGAAGGAGTCTCCTTATTGTTGCATTCTCACTATGAGGCAAAGAAGTACACCAGTCGGTCTCTTCAGTTCTCTAGTTGTGGAAACAATTTATCAAGATGGTTGCTGCTCACTTTCAGGCAATTTAGTTTTGGAGGGACAGAGTGATAAGCAATGTAGTTTGTAGCAGTTAATGCAGTCAGTGTTTGTAGAAATGTTTTTGAATTAAATAGCTAACCACTAAAATAGCATTTTATCAAATAATTGTCATAAATAAAATGCATTTTGACTTTAAGATGACATGTGCTCTTATAGGAATGTTTCTTCTGCATGCTAAGGATTGTATAACATATTAAAGAATACACATTTATGGGGATAAAAGGCAAATAAACTTCCCCAGCAGTAATGTGGGAATCATCACTGACGGTTTGACATATCAATATTTCAGGAAGAATAAATGACTTTCATATCCATGTTTTTTTTTATCATATACTTATTCATTTTTGCATTACTGAATACTTTGGAAAGAATCTGTACTTTATCACCTGAAACTGCTTAAAGTATTTCGAAATATTTTAATAAAGCCTTTTGAATTATCAAATAATGTAACTTTTAAACAAATTTTACTATTATTATAAATATTTGCTCTTCATCCCTTGCCCAAAGGAAAACTATAAATCTTGTCTCAACTGAATGAACACCATTTATCATATTCATTTCCTTGTCAATACAATTATGAAAAGCCTTTGGCCTTTTCCCAAGGAAGCTGATTTGCCACAGAAACTCAATTATTATAAGCAAGGCCAGTACCAAACCACTGCATTTGGCAATCTAACACAGACTCCTACATAACTGACACTTCGCCCTCTGCCCCTGACCCTAATAACGTCAACATCTATGGTCAAATGGAGGAGACAATGGTTTCTAGCTCAAAATGAACAGTAAGTCCTAAGATTTTCCATTTGCTATATTCTGCCATCTGCTGGACAAAAGTTTCATTTCAGCTAGGTGCGGAAAGAAAGGAGTTAAGAAATGGAGAACTAATTTGATCCTTTGGTACTGGGTGTGGGGGGTGGTTCTTGACCTCAAATGTTAGCTAAAACTGCTGAAGAGAGGTAAAATGCCAACTGCTGAGCTTCAAGAGAACTATCGATACCAGAGTGCCCAGACTGGACTTGGGTAATTTTCAATATAAATGAAAAGTTTTGACTTTGAGAGCTGATGTTTCTGTTTGAAGAAACAGAAAGGGTATGTAGGTCAGTGAAGTTTGACCTTTAAAATCAGAGGACTTATACCTTTCCATGTTAGAACTTACAATCTCCACACATGTACGTTATATGCTTAGGTAAATGATATATCTGATTCTCCAGAGACATGGAAAAATCTTACCTCTAAACCTTTCCTGAGCACATAAATCTGAGAAGTAGTGTAGAGACTGTGGCTGTGGCTCAGTGGTAGTGCACTTGCCTGGCATGTATGAGGCACTGGGTTTGATTCTCAGCACCACATATAAATATATAAAGGTATATCAACAACCAAAAAAAAAAAAATTAAAAAAAAATACGAGTGTATACTAAAATTAGTGTTTAAATATTTGATAACGTACAGAGTTCTCTTGAACATGCCCATCTCCCCTGCTGGTTATGCTTTTGGCCTTAACTGTGACACGGCAGTTGATGAGAGCCTTTAGAAGTTTCTTTTGCAATTTATGAAGGAAAGAAAGGGTAAGAAAGGTTTGACCTTTCAAAGCAAATCAAAGTGTGACTTAAGAAGCTGCTTAGCTTTAAACTAGAATTTTTTCTCATGTGCTCTGAAGATTACAAGTTTAAAAGGAATGAAGCCATTACTTACACTTACTCTAGAAGTTGTCACTTCCTATTAGGATCAAAGATGATTTGTACCCACTGTTAAAATGTTGGTAACTATTTATGACTAGTGATTATATATGCCAGACATTTCAGAAAAAGCATTACATATTTTAATGGTCACAGTAAGCCTCGACACTGCATAATCCCCTTTTTTTAGATGATGAAACTAGGTCTTGAAGAGAAATGACTTGGCCAGGTTCACACAGTCAAGGAGGGGCTGGATTTGCAGCCTTGTCCATCTGGCACCAAAGCCTGTGCTCTGCCTCCTTGCACGTGATGGGCACTTCTATGGGAGACTTCTTCCCTGTCTGTACTGAACCTTAGCCATGGCAAATTCAAATTTTACCCCAAATGACAAATCCTGACTACTGACTTCCTTCTCTTTTCATGTCCATTAAAATTTTCTTCGGGATGAAGAACTGTGGCGTGATGAATTAAGGCCTGCTCAGCCTTGCTCGTTGAGATGAGTAGATATTCAAATCTGCTCAACAATGACCAATGGCAGGATCCCCTGATCCCAAGTCAAGATGCCAGTCAGGTTTTCCCTGTACCCCCAACATAAACAATCACAGGGGGAAGCGATTTTTAAGTTGTCAATATTTAATGGCACCAAAAAATTGACCTCTCTGAGTTGGGTCTCCGAACGCTGTGTTCAGTTATCTGCACACTGCCACTGTGCTGTAATTTTTAGCTGATTACACATTAGTTCATTTAGCTTTGTTTCCTCTTCCCTACTGTGCCATACTATTAAACGAAAGCGAGGGGCCTGGCATCCCTCTGTGCACAGAGCTGGTATTGTCACAGTGTAATAAGGATACATCCAGTCAAACAGCATGGTGTAGCTGGTCTTTGTGTTCAGTGCAAAGGCAATCCCTCGAAGATCTCTTGCCAGCCCAATCAACATACGCTGTCAGTGGGAAAGAGACACAGTAATTGATTTTCACGTTAGTGCAGAGCAGATGGAGTAATAATCAGGCAATAATGACCACATATCTGATTTTGATTCATTAGCTAAAATGTCTCGTTCAGGTCCCTTTCTATAGAAAACCATAGACTCTTTAAACAAACAGATCATCAATCTGCTAACCAATTCCACTTTGCTTCTTATAAACTGAGCTACGTCACAATTCTAGAAGCTTAGAGTCATTTAGATTCTTAACATATTTTGTTTGGACACTGCCAAATTTGGGGATGCGGGGAGTGACCAAGATTGATTATTTCACAAAACTGATATGTACAGGGTCTAGACATTATTTAATAATAGCAACTCTTAACACTGGCCTGCATAAAATCATTCTCACTATACAATTTAGAGTCTACCCTGGAAACGTACTGATATTTAAAGATTCCTAAAAAATGTTTAATAACTTAGGACAAAATAAAACTGGCTAAGTGACCTACTGGTACTATGACACAACCAGAATGGCAGTCACAGACCTCAAGTAAGGAAGAGCTTTACAGTCAATGTCATGAGACTTTTAAATCCTAGGTTCACTTAATTCTTAATTGCTAGTCAATTTATCTGTCTCAGATTTCTCATCTATAAGAGGGGCAAACAATGCCTCTAACAAACTCTGAGGAATAATCTTGTAAAATGCCTCAGCAAGAGTGTGAAACACAGCAAATGGTCCTCAGTATTCAGTTTTATAGGGGGAGTAAAAAAAAAAAAAAAAGAGAAAAAAAAAAGTAAAAAAGGAGAAGAAAGAAAGACCTTCTCTTGAATAAAAGAGATCTGACTTGTATCCTGGACTCTTAATTAAGCTGTCCTTAGGATGATGCTTGGGAAGAGAAAAAGAAACCCATGAACAGATGCTAGAATGTCAGAACAAAGAGCACAAATAAACACAATTGCAGAACAAGGGGGTGGGATAATTGAGATATGCAATCGTGACTTCCGAAGATACTGTTTCAGGAAAAAACGGCCAGAAAATGGCCTCTAAACTTTTCTTTTTATCAGATTTCTCTTTTTCTTCATACTCTGATAATAAATGAGACTCATGTTCAGGAAGGAGTTAAAATGATCATTAAGGAGGCAGTAGATCCCAACTGTCATCTGAAGGACTGAAGAGCACTTCAAGGCAGCAAGTGACAGTTCAACTGTCACAAGTCTCTGGCATCTCCTCCTGCCCCCTACTCTTCCTAAGAGCTGACTCAACATACCTGGATGTTGTCCATAAGAACATGCACTTTCTACTGTCCAACGGTATATGGAAGGCCCAAGTTCTGAAGCGGAAAAATACTGTGCCTTGAAGGCAATGACCTGCTCCTTTTCTCTTCATCCCCCATCCTGTTTTTCTGCACCTGACTGGCCTCCTTGTAGGTGCTGTGCACGACCCACTGCTGCTTTTCAGCATTCTGCTGGGATGCAGCCTTTCTTCACCCCTGGAACTGTTCCGCTCTCTGTCTCGGCTCTGCACATTTCTGACAGCCTCCAGAACAGAGCGCATCTTCTAAGAAGCCTTCTTGGAACAGTTCTGTTCCGGCTGCGGTATGTGCAGTCCAGGGATTCTCGGTGGGCCTCTGCCACCGTCAAGTTGGCCATTTTGCTGTTTTTACTACATACACTTATACATTACAGGCTACACTTACAAAAAGCTTCCACTGACATACAAAAGACCCACCACTCAACTCTAAATTAGTTACCAAGAACCATGAATCCTGCTTTCTTTATACCTAAGTACAAAGAGCTTTAATATTTTAAACTATCATCATTTTATAAAAATGGTTAATTTTTATCATATTTTTCTTAAAAGATGCCAAGTTAACAGAAGTACTCTAATTAACTCAAATCCATAGGTTTTTTTTTAAAATGCACTGGCCATGAAATGGTATCAATGTTTCATTTTAGAAAATGTTGCTACAGAACAGAGGAAGCATATAATAACTACATGTAAGTTTTAAATAGATTTAACTGAGCAGGAAAGTACAGTATTAAAGTTAATAAGAAATAGATTTCTTAGAGTCAAACAGTACCTTTTATCTCTAAGTAGCACAGAGTGCTGTAAGAGTCTACACAGCTAAACAATACTAAAAGGGTATTTTCTCCCTAGCTCTGGAATGAGATAGGGAAGAGTTAACTAGGAGCTCAATTCTGGGCTACGGAAGAATTGGAGAGTGAGGGGTCATCTGGTTGAAATTTAGGGGAAGAGGAACCACAACTTACCATCTCATTTAAAACAGGACAAAGAGGTCCATTTTAAAAGTTGCCTTTCTCCTGTGGCTGGTCATCACTAAGACTGATCTGTGAAGCGAGAGGCTTCTGCATTTCTAGTGAGGCAGTGTGTGAAGCGGGGCAAGCCTGGCGATCTAACCCTATGGCTTCCTTTTTCAATAGCTCAAGAGAAACCGCTGAGCGCTTCAGTCCACTGCATGGTGAACGGTTGTCTGTGTGCCAAGCGTGAGACGGATGGGCTGGGAAACAGCTGAACCGCGGCTCCTTCCACCCTGACCCCCAAAACAGGGTTTCTAATGGAAAGTCTGACAGACCCTTTACTGTAGTGGCACTACTGGGGGCAGCTATAATATTATCCTCATAATTCTACCATATAATAACAACAAAGAAAAGGAAGGTGAAGGGTCATTGTGCTTTGTCTTTAGAATTAAGATGGCTGTCTTCATCCTTACAGCACACTCTTAATTCTGGAGACACATCTTAATAACCTCTAAATAGTTCCAACAAAAGAGCCGTGTCAGAGGAACGAGCAGGCCCCAAGGTGTTTCAACTGGAGTGTTTTCATCTGCCTTTATTGCTCTATCCCTCTCCAGAATTAAGGCAATAACCTGTGATAAATTATTCAGGAACTGCTACAGGGATCAAAGCAAAATCATTCTGTTAAAGTGCTGTTTGCAACATTTGGCACTTAGTGCGAAAACTTTTAATGTGCGCATGCTGAAAATCAAGGATTTTAAATAATTTAACATTGTGGAGTTTTTACGAAGGGACTAAAGATAGCAGGTTTCTATTTAACTGCTCCTCTACCTCTGCGAAGTTTTCATTCATTTTCCTTAAAACTGATGACGTCATGGCCAAATCAAAAATGATGCGTGAATCTGGGAAGTAATAGACTTGAGTTGGTTCTAAGATAGGGAAAGTTACAGGGGAAAAATGGCATTTTGGGGGATAATACTCCAGTGACAGGGTTTGTTACAGTATTTCCCCCTTTACTTTGGAGAGAAGAAACTCAAGACAAAAATTCAATGTTCTCTTCAATTTTATTAGGACTAAGTAGGAAAACAAAACTATAAATTTAAGAGTTTTCTAGCATTTTCTTTCCTCACAACGATATTTCAATTTGGCAACACAGGTCCTTAATGTTTAAGTTTATCCCGGAATCTACATTTGCAAAATATCTATAAATAGGGAGTTAGAAAATCCTGGTAAGGGTTGCAAATTAAATGAATTTGGCAGTCCTGAGGCATTTTCATAGAGATATTTTAACAGCATCACCTCCTGTGGATTGGAATACTAAATGCTTTATTGAAGAACAAAACAGAACTGTTTTTATCTCTAGTACTTGCAAAATGAAGTACCTGAAAGCACTTTTGCATGTATTATTTATTCATCATGATAGAAAAATAGCCTTAACCTAATAAATTACATTTAAAAGCATTTAGTGCAAAAGTTTTGTTTATGATAAAGCAACAGATTTAGTTCTTTATCGGTGGCTTAAAGCACCAAGTTTCTTTATACAAATTAGACAGATGGTGCTTACAGTAGAATTTACTAAAGGTCTGTCACAACAAATGCAGCCAAGCTGCATATTTAATCACTGCAGAATCTTGTCTACCTGCAGCTGCCAACTGCTAATCCAATTTCCCTGATAAATGTGGCAAGAGACACGATCAGCAATAAAGAGCATCTAACTCCATTTTCCTGCAGGGCGTCTTTTGATGAACATTTAGGACGGAAGCACGGAGTGCACTGTGTGGCCTTGGTTCGTGGCAGCTGCATGCATTCTGAGGCACAGTTCTCAGGTTACTCACTTAATTCTGCCACTATCATTACGTTGCTATTGATCTCAGTAGCTGTTGCCTACACAGCATTACTCTAGATGAAGCTGAATCAGGCAGTTATCATGCATCAAACTTGCTCAAAAGCCTGGAGATTTCCCCTTAATTACTTGTGATTTTATTTGCAAATACCGTTAAAGTGTAATCAAGCAGTCACTTTCCAGGGTCGTTAAGAACTTGCTGGTTTAGGGATATATCACTGGAACTCCATTAAAAATGACTCTAGGAAGATGGTTTCTATCAAACTAGATGGGATTACATCAAACCAGGCTTCAAACATAATGAAATCTTCAAATGAGACAAATATAATTTTTATAAAGATGGTGTTTTTGAGCCTCACTGCCTCTTTTTGATAAAGGGCAGCAATGACCACCTTAAAGCTTCAAGGACTTTGTTGGTCAGTAAAGATATTTGGAAGACATCTAAAAAATACAGTTAAATACAGTGGAAACTGAAAAAAGAATTTCAGCAAAAATATAAGAAAATCTGTAATTTTTTTTGGTATTAAAATTTTATAACTATGACAGCTTGATAAGCATTTATTTAAAAAACTCCATTTAAAATTAAAAGGTACATACAGCATTTGGCTAATTATTTTTTGGCAGGAGAATTATACATATAGCATCAAAGGCCACTGTTTTTTTATTTGACCTGTTAATTTTGTGTGTGTGTGTGTGTGTGTGTGTGAAGAGGGGCCATCATGCAAAAGGTGGTGAATATTCCAATGCATTTCAAATAATAAAATATGACTCAGCCTCAGCAATGAAGGTGCTTATATTCTCCAGAGTGCACTTATTAGTTTTTTAAAAATAATAATCAGTGTCAATCTATTTAATAGAGACTTGCTACATTATAATTTCAAGAGATACTATTTCTATTTACAGAGCTGTGCTTCCCATCCCCCACGTTAAAATATGGGGCTGTTTTGTCACAAACAGCTTGCTACACTTAAGGATTTTACTAATAAAACATAATGTTGTCTTAGATATTATGACTGTTGCCACAGCTGAACTGACTTGTCAAATCAATCCTAATATGGCTCCCACAGGCACATAAAAACCTTATTTAGCTATCAGTTATCCTAATCACTTTGTTCAGTTTAAGAATGCAATACTTCAAGACCAGCTCCTATTTATACATATATGCCTAGCCATTTAATAAAGTCTTGATTTATATAAATTCTGGTTTAAAAAAATATTTAAACATGTAATGTTTTAGCATGTGTGTATTTGTGCATTTCTCCATATGGGTAAGTTGAAATGTAAAGTGCAGAGTAGATGAAGGCATCGAGATGTTTAAAGTGGTGTGTGGACCCAGGAGAAATGTTCTATTAAAGAGAGTAACTGCCATAAGAGACAAGTCTGCGCCATCCAATCCTGAACAGACCGTCCAAAACCATTCACTGAACTCAGAGTCCATTTTTATAAAAAACTAAAAAAAGTCTTACACGAAAAGTATGATCCAAAGACACTTGCATTTGGGAACACTGACCCATGCATACAGATGCAGGTCTGAGGAGCATAGAGCACATAGATACATACGCAAGCCCCTTTCTGGATCCAGATATTCTAGAAAGGTCAGAATTGTCTTTCTTCACGTTGAGAAATAAACTCACCTTTACATCTTCTTGTTTGAAGTTGTTGTTGAATATCTGTAATACTGTTTCAAAAGAGACTGTAAGAGGCAGCATGAAATTCTCAAATTCATCCTCATCTTCGCCTATTAGAGAAACAAAAGGGTCACCATGGTTTAAAATGCAGGCTATTGTACATTAGCCTCACACTGAGTGCTCCACTCAGGCTTAGAAATGTTCCCGAGAAGAGGTCAGCCTGCATTCACATCCATGCCACATTTTGTGCTTTGGCTCATTGAATATTCTGGTGTTTTGCCTTCTCTTTTGCACCAAATGAAATAGCAACATTACTTAGTATCTATTTTTTTTTTTTTTACTGGCTCTTTATTGGATTGAACAGACTCATGCCCCAGGCATTTCAGCTCTTTAGCTTCTGGGGCCCCCAGAGCTTCCCTGATGCTTCAAGGAAGGCCTCAGAGACAAGGGTCTTTTCTCCCCCTTCTTTTTGGGTGCCAAGGCCCTACAGGGCTCATAGACTCAGATGCTCAGATAGATAGCTCTAAGTTATTATTCTTTTTTATTTATGTGCTTTTAAAAATTTAATTTATTAAATAGATGGTGGGGAAAATTTTAATCTGCCAAAAAAGGATGGGGCCCCTTGGGGATCATTGTGGATTTTAAATACATGCATCGAGGTCACACATCTTCTTACACTAAGCTTCCTTTACATAAAGACAAGAGGAAAAAGAGAGATTTCCTATTAATTTTTCACTTCAAAGGTAGACTGTAGTTTTCTCAAGGATTCTGCCAAAACAGAATCTTTACTTCACCCGTGGATATGCACAAGTAATAATTTATATAGTTTCTTTTCAAAAACAGTTTCTTCTAAATGAGACTGAGTTCCCTCATTTGTCCCAGGCCACAGTGAACCACAAGCCCCACTTTACTAGTGAAGAAACAGGCAGAGAGAGAGGTGAGTGTCTTGTTAGGGAGAATGACATAGCTGGGGGTGGACATATGGCCCGGGCTTTCCGCAGGTGATGGTGTAGGAGAGGATGGACCTGGGGCATGAGTGAGGATCCAAGATCTTAGACAAGACCAGTGATCCTCACTACGGTGCTTGATCAAGACCACAAACATCACCTGGGGACTTGTTAGGAGCCAATTTCCAGATTCCATCCCAGATCAGTAGTTTTGTTCTAACAAGCTTTCCAGGTGATTCAGATGCCTGCGACATTTGAGCAATACTACTCTCCACATTATTTTACAGGCAAGGAAACTGTCAAGGCCACAAACACAAGTGATCCATGGCAGGATCCTTTGACTCTTTAGAAGTGGCTCATCTAAATGACCCGATCTTTTAGGACTTCTCTCTTCCCTTCAACTTTACATACTTTGTTTCATGAGTCCAACAGAACCAGGCACTGAGCTTTCCTATGAGGTGTCAACAGGCCAAGAAGTCTTTCCTAATGTGTTGTTCTGAACAGGTATCAAGGTAGACCACATGCAAATCCCTGCTCTGTCAACTGGCTCTGTGGCCAAGTGAGAGACCTCTTAGGTAAAATGTCCTCTATCCAGTGGTGATGACATTAGATCTATATGGAAGCTGTTCTTATTTGTCAAGGCCTACATCAAGTGACAGCTTCTCAATGTCCAAGTTAAGCTCTACCCAGTACCTTTGCAAGAACTCCCCCTTCTTCTTTTGGATTTCCGTGGCATTTGGCCTCTTCTCCCCCACCCCCACATTTTTGATTGGTGCATACAGTTGTGATAATGATGGGATCTGTTGTTATGTATTTATACATGCACACAATCTAACAACATAATTTGGCCAATATCACTCTCCAGTACTCCCCCACCCCACACCTCCCACCCTTTGGTCCCTTTCCTTTACTGATTTCCCTTTGATTTTTAGGACATCCATCCCTACCTTTCCTTTCTTTTCCCCCCTCTAGTTTCTGCATATGAAAGAAAACATATGACCCCTCACCTTCTGAGTTTTAACTTATTTTGCTTAACATGATGGTTCTAGTTCCACCCATTTTCCCATGAATGCCATAATTTCATTTTTCTTGATGACTAAATAAAATTCCACTGTGTATATATACATCACATTTTCTTTATCCATTTATCTGAAGATGAACACCTTGGAAAAATAAAAACTTTTTTGGAGAAGCTTTCCCAAGGAAAGCTCACATTCTCTGCTTAAATTTTCAAGGCCCTGGGCATGCTGAGCACATACTCTACCTCAAGCTGACTCTTTATTATAGCACAGAGTTCCTTGATTTCCGAGCATTTAAGAATATATCTAATACCACCTACACTGTAATGTCACCTCCATTATACTGTCACCATTTGATCAGGGTTCCTAAGGGGATTAAGGAAGTTAAAATTTTTGGGCAGGGGGTGCAGCTCAGAGGTAGAGGCTTGCCTAGCATGCATGAGGCCTCAGCTTTGATCTCCAACCACCTCATTCACACCAAGATAAAATCTGTGGGTATATATGTAAGTTATCACTATCAGCCTACCTGGATAGTATCTGGGACTTAGCTTTGAGAGAGCTGAGACTCTGTCTCTTTGTGTTTCTCTGTGAAAGAGAATGATGCAGGCTTCTGCAGTCAACAGGCCCAGGTGTCTGATTCCTCCACAGACTGTTTAACTTTGGACATTTTACTAATGACTGAACCTCAATTTCCTTATCTATCAAATATAAATAAAAATACCCATCTTTGAGGGTTGTGGTGAAAATTAATTGCTATAAAACATGAAAAAGAGAAGATGCTCAATGAATAGTAGTGATGGCACTAGTATTAAAGTCCTTATTTTCTTAATACTGATACAGAATAGTACACAAATAGCTGAAGTAGACAAGATTGAGTCCTAACTGCATAACACACATATACATTATATTTAACCCACACAATCTCATAAGATAAAGTGCTTTCTAAATGTGGAGTTATTAATGAGAACAGTCATAATAATCACTGAAAGTAGATAAGGCTGCTGGAAATGGGCAGGTCTATCGAAGCTTGATCCTGGCTCTGCCTCCATTAGCTGTCTGGGCCTTTGCATCCTTGTTTGTGATGAAGAGACAAGATATTTACTGCATAAAGCTGGTCATGAGGACTCAATGACAACACATGTGGCACTCTGCTTTGCCGACACTTCATAAACAACAACCATCAGCATTTTTTGTTGCCCTACATTTAACTGGACTTAGAGAGATGACTGGTAATTGAATGAAGTGAGCAGAGAATGTGAGCTTTCCTTGGGAAAGCTTCTCCAAAAAAGCTTTTTCTTTTCCAAGGTTAAGATGTTTATTCACAACAAAGACAATTCAGAGCTTTAACATCTCAACCCCTCACTTAATACTCTGAATTACTGATCAAAGGACTTCCTGGCCTCACCCCTTTCTCCAGCCAGATTTTGAGGCAAATGGATATCAGGAACACAAGAAATTAGACACCATGAAAGGCAGCAGCAATGTGAGCAGCAAGTACCTCTGAAAGTCACTTCCTCTGAAAGGCCTTTCTTGACCAACATCCATTCCCCCACAACTCTTTAATCCCATAAACGACCTTACTTTTCTTATGGGACTTACTGGGACTGCTAATCTACACATTTATGCATTTCTTGTTCGTCTTTCCTATTAGAATATAAGCTTCTTGGGGGAAGGAACTCAGGTTATTTTGATCATGGTTGTATTCCCAGTGCCTAGAAAGGCACCTGGCACTCAAGAAATACTTTTGGTGTGACTAAATAACAGGAGTTAGTTCCTGAGTGCTTATTATGTGCATGCAATAGATTTGGTACTGAATTTTTTGAAAAATATTTATGTGGCTCATTCTATTGCATTGGTGCAAGTCATAAATGGTCACCACAATCCTATGGAGCTGCAGGATCTCCTTCACTATATGGTGAACAGAGAGGCTTAACAGAGTTCAATGGCTTGCCTATCATCTCCAGCTGTACATGTCAGTGGGCTGGGAGCCCCAGGCAGGGCTGCTTCACCAAAGCTCATGCTTTTCCCTTGAATCTCTGATGGGGTGCAAGGTGCCAGAGGTGTGGACTGAACTCAGAACCACACAATCCTGAGTTTTGACCCGCATGAAGTCCGAACAGGGCCAGGAACAGTCAGTTTGGTTCTGGTGAGGTAAATGGACCCGGCCCCACCACAGGAGTTTGAGGTGGAGAGCAGAAGAAACTGTACCTCGACTACCACAATGCTCATGTTTCAGTTATCACTGTTCCTCTGTTACTGGGACTTGATGTACTTATCATCTAAGTTGGAGAACTGGCTGTTTTTTTTGTTTATATCACACAAAAAACTTTATACAAAATCTATTAAAGATTTTTTTCCTCATTTGTATTACCATAGAGATGTCATTTATTGTTCCTGATGCAAAAGGAGAAAATATGAGCTTCCTTGTAACTTCATATTCAAATATATAGTCATATATTTAGTATGCCAAATGTGTATGTGATAACTCATGAATCATAATTGAAGCTAATTCTTTTTCTAATGAAACAAGGGCCCAGAAATCAATATGATTTGAAGATATAGTGTTAATTTCAGACTCATATTTTCATTGAAAAGTAAATACTAACATAACATTATAAGTTCCGAGTAACCCATAAAAATAAATGAAAAATTATTTGGCTTTCAGGCAAAACTAAAAGTATTCATCTCTACTGGCTTTTATAAGTTGCAAACATTTTTTTCTTGAGATATGTCACATTAAAACAGAACAGTGAACCTTTTAGTACTTTGGTGAACAGACATTTTATTTGTAGGACATTTCATTCATCATTTTGCATAATTAAAACCTCAAGTGGTGGGACCATAGACTGGTATAGCTACTGTGGAAAAGTTTGGCAGTTATCAAAGCATCAGAATTGCCATTTGTCTCAGCAGTTCTACTCTAAAAAGAACCGAAAGCATATATTCATGACTTCATAATACCCAAAAAGTTGGAAACAATAAAAATCTAAACTGCTTATCCAAACTGATGAATGAAAAGCAAAATGTGGGACAGCCATACAAGGGAATATTATTCAGTCATACAAAGGGACTCACTACCAATGTGCACTAAAACGGATGAACCTAGAAAACATGCTAAGTCAAAGACAGACACTAAGGCCACAT